TCAGACTGCAGGACATCAGGCTTCAGGACATCATATTGCAGGACATCAGGCTGTAGGACATCATACTGCAGGACATCAGGACATCAGACTGTAGGACATCAGACTGTAGAACATCAGGACATCATACTGCAGGACATCAGACTGTAGGACATCAGGCTGCAGGACATCAGGCTGTAGGACATCAGGCTGCAGGACATCAGGCTGCAGGACATCAGGCTGTAGGACATCATACTGCAGGACATCAGACTGTAGGACATCATACTGCAGGACATCATACTGCAGGACATCAGACTGCAGGACATCAGACTGCAGGACATCAGACTCTAGGACATCAGGCTGCAGGACATCAGGACATCATGCTCTTGGACGTCAGTTTGACAGAAAGGGACAGGATGCTCTCAAACCAGACATCAGACTGCAGGACATCAGACTCTAGGACATCAGACTGCAGGACATCAGACTGTAGGACATCAGGACATCAGACTGCAGGACATCAGGACATCAGACTGCAGGACATCAGACTGTAGGACATCAGGACATCAGACTGCAGGACATCAGACTGTAGGACATCAGACTGCAGGACATCAGACTGTATGACATCAGGACATCAGGCTGTAGGACATCAGATTGCAGGACATCAGACTGTAGGACATCAGACTGCAGGACATCAGACTGTATGACATCAGGACATCAGGCTGTAGGACATCAGATTGCAGGACATCAGACTGTAGGACATCAGGACATCAGACTGCAGGACATCAGACTGTAGGACTTTAGGACATCAGGCTGTAGGACATCAGGCTGCAGGACATCAGACTGTAGGACATCATACTGCAGGACATCAGACTGTAGGAAATCAGGCTGTAGGACATCAGACTGTAGGACATCAGACTGTAGGACATCAGACTGTAGGAAATCAGGCTGCAGGACATCAGACTGTAGGACATCAGACTGTAGGACATCAGGACATCAGGCTGTAGGACATCAGACTGCAGGACATCAGGCTGCAGGACATCATACTGCAGGACATCAGACTGCAGGACATCAGGCTGTAGGACATCATACTGCAGGACATCAGACTGTAGGACATCAGACTGCAGGACATCAGGCTGCAGGACATCATATTGCAGGACATCAGGCTGTAGGACATCATACTGTAGGACATCAGGACATCAGACTGTAGGACATCAGACTGTAGGACATCAGACTGTAGAACATCAGGACATCATACTGCAGGACATCAGACTGTAGGACATCATAGTGCAGGACATCTGGCTGCAGGACATCAGGCTGTAGGACATCATACTGCAGGACATCAGACTGTAGGGCTGCAGGACATCAGGCTGTAGGACATCATACTGCAGGACATCAGACTGTAGGACATCAGACTGTAGGACATCATACTGCAGGACATCAGGCTGCAGGACATCAGGCTGCAGGACATCAGGCTGTAGGACATCATACTGCAGGACATCAGACTGTAGGACATCATACTGCAGGACATCATACTGCAGGACATCAGACTGCAGGACATCAGACTGCAGGACATCAGACTCTAGGACATCAGGCTGCAGGACATCAGGACATCATGCTCTTGGACGTCAGTTTGACAGAAAGGGGACAGGATGCTCTCAAACCTTTAATTACAGTTTGATGGTTGTGATGATTCTGTTTTGTTGTGAGCAGCACAAAGTGAACGAGTGATGCAGAAGAAACACTTGAAATGTCCTCAGAAGACGAGGACAGAAACACAGAAAATTGTTTCCAGACTTTCAGAGTAAACTTTGTTATTGTGGAACAAAAATACATTTTAACAATAATAATGATAACGTGCACAGATCACAATCAAACAGTCACTCAGGATTCTTTTTTTGGCTCTCCAGACAATGATCGTCAAACAACGAGCAACAGTTCCAGTTTGGATTCATTTATGCAGCAGAATGATTCTAATCACAATCAAAGAGTGACACTGTGAATACCTACAGAAGGAAACGTGACTCACTTTACACTTCCCACAAATCAGAGCTCAACCAACTTATTCTTGTTGGTTTATTGATCTGAGTCAGATCAGAAAACTTTATTTAGAGAAAATCTCATTTTCTGCACATTCTCCTGTAGCAGACACTGAAGCTTCAGTGTTTATCCAGCTCTGCATGGGTCTGTAAACCTTTCTGTGTTCTAACCTCTCTCCATTTTTCAAAAGCATCTCCAATATTGATCCTAGTTTGAGCACGTTTCTGCTCGTGGAGCTTATTAGAAACATGCAGAGGTTTAACACTTCCTATCATCATCATGGTCTGTTTGCTTCATCTTTTCCAATAAACTCACCCAAAGTCATTCAGACTTTAGACGGTCACTACATCCTGATAGTGACGCTGTGTGTTCCTGTGTATCGCTGATTGAGACCCATTCCTCTTTCAGACGTCACACATTTTATTTGGGCTCCAGACTGAAAAGTATTCCACTTTACGATCGGGAGAGAGCGAGGATGATGGATGGAAGAAGTTGGATAAAAAAGGTTGAAAGAGAGAAAGAGTAAAAAGAGAGAGAGAGAGAGAGCAGGGGTCATCCAGAGGTCATGCCACTGTCCATCGTCTCGGGCTTCACTGACTGATTCTCTCTCTCTGTTCTAAACGTCCTCCTTCATTACTAACAAGAGAAACTCTCTTTTCACAGTGTTTCCTCGCTCTGACTCGCTCTCTCTCTCTTTCTGCAGGGCGGTCTTTTCCCCTTCACTCGTGGGTCTCTTCGTTCTTTGATAGTTCGTCTTTCAGTGCAAACACACACACACACACACACACACACACACACACACACACACACACACACACACACACACACACTCTGCCCGGGGGGAGGTTGTTGGGTGGTCACCAGAGGACCGTGTTCTTGTGCAGTGACCGTCTCGCTCTCTCGCCTCTCCTCTTTACACCCCGCACGCCGTCCTCTTCATCTTTTGAATCTGTTTTATTTAAACCCCTGTCGTTGATAATAATTTACTTTGTGAACCTGAGATCATTATAGCAAAGAATAATGGGACCTGCAACTCCCCGTCTTCTCCACCAGGTGTCCCCAGACTCCCAGCAGCTTTGATTCATCCACACTCCTGTTCCCAGCTCCCCTGTGTCTCCTTCCCTCCCCTGTCTCCTCTCCTCTGTTTCTTTACTACTTTATCTCAGTGTCATGTTTTCACTTTTATTTGTTGTTTTTTGGAGTTTAAAGCGCTGAAACCTCTGCTCACAGTTTTGAGTCCCCGTCTGACAGGAGCCTTTCAAAATAAACTTGTGAATCTTTGGAGAAGATGAAGTTCAAAGATCAAACGTGCACTTTGTCCAAAAGAAGAAGAAAAAGTTTAATTCTTTATTAATCTTATATACAGACATTTACATCGATCATTGCAAACGTTATAGTTCTACTAATGTCCTGTAGTCTAAGACAGTGTAACACAGGATCCTCCCAGACTCGGTCCAGCTCCAGAATAAATGATGAACAGTGGATTATATGAATGAAAGAGAAGAAGCAGGGTCGTCAGTTTGACACACAACAAACAGCAAGCGTTCCTCTTTCATTACTAAACACTAAAAAAAAACACTCAAAGGGAAAATGTCACCCGCTTCTTGACTTTATGTTGACAGTGGTTTATTCCACATGAGATGATTCTGTGAATGACTAACACGAGGAGGTCCTCTTTTTCTGTTACAGCTTTAAAACCTGTCATTAGTTTTCAGTCCAGCTCTGCTCGTTCGTAATCTGGCGTCCTGCATCGGTCAGGAACTCGTTTCTGTTTAGTTCTTTGTTGATTTATTTTCACGACGTCATGATGAACGCTCAGGTCAACGTGTGCAGAATAAAGACGAGTCACAACATGTCGGTGTTCAGCTCGGTCTGCTCTCAGATTCAGGGAAAATCAGCACATGCTAAGAATAGCCTAGCTTAGCATAAAGATGAGAAACGAGGGTAAACAGCTAGAACTCTTCAAACAAGGCAGGACATTTTGTGTGACTGTTGTTTCTTCTATATCAGATAACATTTGTGTTCGCTCAGCACATGACAGCAGTCTGTGTGATCATGGATCAGCCTCCTCTCCAGCCTGAAGGTGTGTGACGATGATTTACGGAAACAACGTTGAGGAAGACGAAGAGAAGCAACTTTTTTTCTGGCGCTGCTCTCGGTCTAGTTGTTTAGACTGTTTAAGAACCGAGTGTCATAGTAGAGATGATGAGTCCTTTGGTCTCTAGACTCTGGAGCTTTAAAGGCAGGAAGGTGAAAGTCTGTAATCTTGCTACACCCGGCTGATGACTTTTTATATTGAGACAGTTTGAGAAATTGTCGAGGACGGGCCTTTAGAGGTGGTCTTTGCTCATTAGATTATTTTTTACTTTTGTAAATCCTCTCAAACTAAAAGTGTTTTTTTAAATCTTGAACTGCAATGCCAGGCTTGCTGTTTCCCTCTGCTCTGGGTGTTCATGCTAAGCTAGGCTAAACGCATCACTACAGAAATTAAATTTAAATCTGCCTGAACAGGTCGCTTAAATAGAAAGTGAATATACGTTTGTTTTTAAAGGTCACATATTCTCCTCCTCTTCTTCAGTTTAAATAAGTCTCAGAGCTCCTCAAAACATGTGTGTGAAGTTTCTTGTTCTAAATCCACTCTGATCCTGTATTTGATCATGTCTATAAACCCCTCTATTTCAGCCCTGCTCAGAACAGACTGTTTCTGTGTCTGTACCTTTAAATATGTAAATGAGCTGTGTCTGACCACGCCCCCTCTCTGGAAGGGCTTGGTGTACTTGGTGCTTTCTTGCTCCATGTCCTATTGTTTACGGTGAGAAGGCAGACTCAGAGGGCAGAACAAACACCTAGCTGTGGGAGTGTCACCCACCTGGGGGAGGGGCTACTGCCCTTTGTGATGTCATGAAGGGAAAATCTCCAAACGGCCTGTTTGAGCAAACATTTTTTGAAAAGTGGAGCAGGCAGAAGACGGAGAGGATGGACTTTTCTCATCATTGGGGGGTTTGTAGACGGACTAGAGGAACATGGAGAAGAGGATTTTACAGAATATGTGACCTTTAAAACTTTACTAGAATCCTTCAATTTAATGTAGAGTCTGTGCTTTAAATTTGTCTTTTTTATATGCAGATGACACATTTATTTACTTTCAGTGTTGACAGTGTCTGCTGGCTTTACTTCACGGTGGGTTTCTCACTCAGTGTTTGCTTCAGATCTCAGCCTGGACTTCATGCAGAGCTTTACAGAGCTGCAGCTGTTTTCTGATTAATGTGATTTATTAATTACTCTGCAGCGAGGGACTGGAAGCTGTTTGTTACCTCAGGATTGATTTACAAAGGTCATGTGCAGTCAATGCAAGACTGATGAGGTGAACGTATCGTCTCCTCCTCCTCCACCTTGCCCCCCTCCTCACAGCCTCAGAGTCAGGACCCCCGTCACGCAGGCTAACAGGACAGAGGGGGAACATACTGAAGCAGCGCTCATCGTAACTTCCTGGAATATTTTTCCAACCACGTCTCTCTCTGCTTTTTCCGCCGGCTTTATTTTCTCCTCCTTCTCCTTTATCTTCTCCTCCTCCTCCTCCTCCTCCTCCACCTCCACCTCCTCCACGTTTACTTTGACCCCCTCCTCCTGTCTTTCAGGTGTGGTTGGGGGGGCGTCTGGAGCCTGTGTGCCCGGGTCTGGGGTGTTTTCTTCTGGGGTGATTTCTGCTTGGACTTCCTCCATGTCCTCTGCAGAGGTGGTGGTGATACTGGGCGTACTAGTTGTTGTGGGCGGAGCTGCGGGTGGAGCTGTGGTGTCAGGTTGGACGTACATGTCAGTGGTTGCAGGAGGAGGAACGTGCGCCTCCTCTTCCTCCTTTATCTCCTCCTCTGGTTCCTCATCCAGCAGGATGACGGGTTCAGTCGTCGCAGGAATCTCTGTCACGTCTTCGTCCTCACCGTCGTCTACGTCGTCATGCATCTCGTCCAGTGTGTCGTCCACTGCAGAACGCAAAGACAGAATTCATAAGAACTTCTAAGGAGCAGGATGTAACTTCTTTAAAGGTCGACACGGTACAGATTCAGTATGAGAAACCACAACCTTGAAAACACCAGAACTAGAGACAGATTTGATGTAAGATGAGAAAAGAGGAAGTTAAACTGTCCAGAGCACCTTCAGGTACACTGATGACGTAGTTAAACTAGAGACCAGCTCTGGGGATCACAGGTAACCAGGGTAAGGATTCTAGACCAGGAATAATTTGAGGATGCATAACGAGACTTTGTCCTACCACAGAGGTTGTTTTCACACTTCTGGAGGTTCTCAGGACACCTGGAGCACCAATCACCTTCAACGTACGGCCGCTCACCTTCATAATTCCCTCTGTAACACACACACACACACACACTGTTAGAGCAGTTCATTCTTCCATCTTGCAGTAAAACATTTAAAGTTTTATTCAACACAACATGAGACATTAAAGTGAACACGTGTACACACTCAAGAGTCCCCAAGGGGGAGCTCTTGTTCCAGCAGTGCAGCAGTGGTACTGATGGTTTCATACAGGTACCAGAGGGTTGTAGTCAAGACCACACTAACCCCAGACCAGAGTGGTAAGAGACTGAGACATTTAGGGATTGAGACTGAGACGAGACCGGGACCATAAGTATCGTTGAAAAAGGGGGCGTGTCACTCACATAGACCGTAACCCCGGGAAGGTCGCAGCCATAACCGAGGGATAAAAATCAAACTACAAATTAAGGGAAGTCATTAGTTCTTTCAGAAACAGACGTTTTCGGTTTCACCCTGACTCAGTCTTGACTCGGTCTGGATCCCTAAATGACTTGGTCTTTTGTTAATAGTGTTACTGTGTGGTAATAGTGTTACTGTGTGTTAATAGTGATACTGTGTGTTAATAATGATACTGTGTGTTTATAGTGATACTGTGTGTTAATAGTGATACTGTGTGTTAATAGTGATACTGTGTGTTAATAGTGTTACTGTGTGTTTATAGTGATACTGTGTGTTGATAGTGATACTGTGTGTTTATAGTGATACTGTGTGTTTATAGTGTTACTGTGTATTAATAGTGATACTGTGTGTTTATAGTGATACTGTGTGTTTATAGTCATACTGTGTGTTTATAGTGTTACTGTGTGTTTATAGTCATACTGTGTGTTTATAGTGATACTGTGTATTTATAGTGATACTGTGTGTTAATAGTGATACTGTGTGTTTATAGTGATACTGTGTGTTAATAATGTTACTGTGTGTTTATAGTCATACTGTGTGTTTATAGTCATACTGTGTGTTAATAGTTATACTGTGTATTTATAGTCATACTGTGTGTTTATAGTCATACTGTGTGTTAATAGTGTTACTGTGTGTTAATAGTGATACTGTGTGTTTATAGTGATACTGTGTGTGTTAATAGTGTTACTGTGTGTTAATAGTGTTACTGTGTGTTAATAGTGATACTGTGTGTTAATAGTGATACTGTGTGTTAATAGTGTTACTGTGTGTTTATAGTCATACTGTGTTACTGTGTGTTTATAGTCATACTGTGTGTTTATAGTGTTACTGTGTGTTAATAGTGTTACTGTGTTTATAGTGTTACTGTGTGTTAATAGTGTTACTGTGTGTTTATAGTCATACTGTGTGTTTATAGTGTTACTGTGTGTTTATAGTCATACTGTGTGTTTATAGTGTTACTGTGTGTTTATAGTCATACTGTGTGTTAATAGTGATACTGTGTGTTTATAGTGTTACTGTGTGTTAATAGTGTTACTGTGTGTTTATAGTCATACTGTGTGTTAATAGTGATACTGTGTGTTAATAGTCACACTGTGTGTTAATAGTGATACTGTGTGTTAATAGTGATACTGTGTGTTAATAGTGTTACTGTGTGTTTATAGTCATACTGTGTGTTTATAGTGTTACTGTGTGTTAATAGTCATACTGTGTGTTAATAGTGATACTGTGTGTTAATACTGTTACTGTGTGTTAATAGTGATACTGTGTGTTAATAGTGTTACTGTGTGTTTATAGTCATACTGTGTGTTTATAGTGTTACTGTGTGTTTATAGTCATACTGTGTGTTTATAGTGTTACTGTGTGTTTATAGTCATACTGTGTGTTAATAGTGATACTGTGTGTTTATAGTGTTACTGTGTGTTAATAGTGTTACTGTGTGTTTATAGTCATACTGTGTGTTAATAGTGATACTGTGTGTTAATAGTGATACTGTGTGTTAATAGTGATACTGTGTGTTAATAGTGTTACTGTGTGTTTATAGTCATACTGTGTGTTTATAGTGTTACTGTGTGTTAATAGTCATACTGTGTGTTAATAGTGATACTGTGTGTTCTAATACTGTTACTGTGTGTTTATAGTGATACTGTGTGTTTATAGTCATACTGTGTGTTAATAGTTATACTGTGTGTTTATAGTGATACTGTGTGTTTATAGTGATTCTGTGTGTTTATAGTGATACTGTGTGTTAATAGTGTTACTTTGTGTTTATAGTGATACTGTGTGTTTATAGTGATACTCTGTGTTTATATTGATACTGTGTGTTTATAGTGATACTTTGTGTTAATAGTGTTACTGTGTGTTTATAGTGATACTCTGTGTTTATAGTCATACTGTGTGTTAATAGTGTTACTGTGTTTTTATAGTGATACTGTGTGTTTATAGTGATACTGTGTGTTAATAGTGATACTGTGTGTTCATAGTGATACTGGGTGTTAATCGTGATACTTTGTGTGTATAGTCATACTGTGTGTTAATAGTGATACTATGTGTTTAAAGTGATACTGTGTGTTTATAGTGATACTGTGTGTTTATAGTGATACTGTGTGTTAATAGTGTTACTGTGTGTTAATAGTTATACTGTGTGTTAATAGTGATACTGTGTTTTTATAGTCATACTGTGTGTTAATAGTTATACTCTGTGTTTATAGTGATACTGTGTGTTTATAGTGATACTGTGTGTTTATAGTGATACTGTGTGTTTATAGTGATACCGTGTGTTAATAGTGTTACTGTGTGTTAATAGTTATACTGTGTGTTAATAGTGATACTGTGTTTTTATAGTCATACTGTGTGTTAATAGTTATACTCTGTGTTTATAGTGATACTGTGTGTTTATAGTGATACTTTGTGTTAATAGTGTTACTGTGTGTTTATAGTGATACTCTGTGTTTATAGTGATACTGTGTGTTAATAGTGTTACTGTGTTTTTATAGTGATACTGTGTGTTTATAGTGATACTGTGTGTTAATAGTGTTACTGTGTGTTTATAGTGATACTGTGTGTTAATAGTGTTACTGTGTTTTTAATAGTGATACTATGTGTTTTTTAGTGATACTTTGTGTTAATAGTGTTACTGTGTGTTTATAGTGATACTCTGTGTTTATAGTGATACTGTGTGTTAATAGTGTTACTGTGTGTTTATAGTTATACTGTGTGTTAATAGTGATACTGTGTTTTTATAGTCATACTGTGTGTTAATAGTTATACTGTGTGTTAATATTGATACTGTGTGTTAATAGTGTTACTGTGTGTTTATAGTCATACTGTGTGTTAATTGTGTTACTGTGTGTTAATAGTGATACTCTCTGTTTATAGTGATACTGTGTGTTTATAGTGTTACTTTGTGTTAATAGTGTTACTGTGTGTTTATAGTGATACTCTGTGTTTATAGTGATACTGTGTGTTAATAGTGTTACTGTGTGTTTTTAGTGATACTGTGTGTTAATAGTGTTACTGTGTTTTTATAGTGATATTGTGTGTTTATAGTGATACTTTGTGTTAATAGTGTTACTGTGTTTTTATAGTGATGCTGTGTGTTTATAGTGATACTGTGTGTTAATAGTGTTACTGTGTTTTTATAGTGATACTGTGTGTTTATAGTGATACTGTGTGTTAATAGTGTTACTGTGTGTTTATAGTTATACTGTGTGTTAATAGTGATACTGTGTTTTTATAGTCATACTGTGTGTTTATAGTGATACTCTGTGTTTATAGTGATACTGTTTGTTTATAGTCATACTGTGTGTTAATAGTTATACTGTGTGTTAATATTGATACTGTGTGTTAATAGTGATACTGTGTGTTAATAGTGATACTGTGTGTTAATAGTGATACTGTGTGTTAATAGTGATACTTTGTGTGTATAGTCATACTGTGTGTTAATAGTGATACTGTGTGTTAATAGTGATACTGTGTGTGTATAGTCATACTGTGTGTTAATAGTGATATTGTGTGTTTATAGTGTTACTGTGTGTTACTAGGGTTACTGTGAGTTAATAGTGTTACTGTGTGTTTATAGTGTTACTGTGTGTTTATAGTCATACTGTGTGTTAATAGTGATACTGTGTGTTTATAGTGTTACTGTGTGTTAATAGTGTTACTGTGTGTTTATAGTGTTACTGTGTGTTAATAGTGATACTGTGTGTTAATAGTGTTACTGTGTGTTTATAGTGATACTCTGTGTTTATAGTGATACTGTGTGTTTATAGTCATACTGTGTGTTAATAGTGATATTGTGTGTTAATAGCGATACTGTGTGTTAATAGCGATACTATGTGTTAATAGTGATACTGTGTGTTAATATTGATACTGTGTGTTAATAGCGATACTGTGTGTTAATAGCGATACTGTGTGTTAATAGCGATACTATGTGTTAATAGTGATACTGTGTGTTAATATTGATACTGTGTGTTAATAGCGATACTGTGTGTTAATAGCGATACTGTGTGTTAATAGCGATACTATGTGTTAATAGTGATACTGTGTGTTAATAGTGATACTGTGTGTTAATAGTGATACTGTGTGTTAATAGTGATAATGTGTGTTAATAGTGTTACTGTGTGTTAATAGTGATACTAACGCGGGGTAGTAGTTGCACACGAGGAAGTTGGTTCTCCCCCAGTTCAGACCCTCCATGTCGGTACAGACATGCACAGCACAGCCCACTCTGTGTGTGTCCGCCCACACCATCTGTAACACACACACACACACACACACACACACACACACACACACACACACACACACACACACAACACACAGGTCAGATCCAGCTCAGAGATACATGTGTGTGTGTGTGTGTTTAGGTGTGTGTCTGACCTGCGTGTAGTGTCCACACATCTTGTCCTCATCACAGCTGTTGTTATTGAAGTCGTAGCTCAGGTTCTCTGCAGGAATCGATGACATAACCACACATTAGATAACGTTGGTGTGTGTCTCTTGTGTTTGATTATTTCTGAAGCACTTGTTCTACATGTTCTGTGAAACATGGTCCTGAAGAGCAGAGCTTTTAAAGTTTCATTAAATAAAAATCTTCAGAAATACTCCAGTTGTTGTTTTTATACAGCTGGTGTTACCATGGAAACATGACATTAAACTGGATTAAACTGGAGGCTCAGGTCATAATATCATATGATGTTTTACGTAATCCCGGTTGAATTATTATTTTTATTTTTTTTTGACTTGTTTTGGTGTCCTGAAGTCAGAATCATGAAACACACCTCTAACGTAATGTAACCTTTAATGACTCCACATCAAACAACAAAGACGCAGCATTCAGAGAAGGTAAACGTCAGAGGAGTTTATTTAAAGGAGCAGTATGTAACTCTGACCCCTTGTGTTGAAAATGGGTACTGCAGTCCACTAACGAGGGTTTTTGCGATGGCAGCGTCTCGTTCAGCGTTTTCTGCACTCAGCATCATCAGCACTAAAACGCACTCGGCTTCAGCTGTTTTTTTGTCGCTGTAGTTTAAAGTTCAACTTTTGGAACCCCGCCTGTTCGTCAGTGTCACATCTCCTTTACTGACCAATCAAAATCCAAAAGGGGGTTAGGGGTTAGGGGCTACCCTTCTGATATTAACTCTGTCAACGACTGCGGCAGAGAAGAAACTAGTTTGACTGGTTTTTTGGAGGGTACGATTTGAGGACTAGATCTGCTTCTAATGTCGGGACACCATTCATTTACATCATTTCAAGTTTTGATATTTCCTTGAATAAAGGAGAATATGAAGCACACGGCACTACAGACCTAACGCTCACTACAGAGGGGGGTTAAAGGTTATCTTTCGTAACCTAGCAACAGTTGGCACCGATGAGAAGGGCTCTGTAACTGAGGTTGTGAGTCCTGCCTGCCCAAAACTCACCCAGAAACCATTCTTCCAGAGACTCTCGGAGGTCCAGAGGTTTGGTCCCGGCGTACAGGTTCTCTCCGGTCTCCTCCAGGTCAGGGTTGTGGTTCCAGACACATTTAGCAGCATAGCCTTCTGCTATCACCTTCAGACTGGGGTCCCATTTCTGCAGAGGAATCAAAACGTCATGATTAAAAATAATTGACTTTGAACGTCCAGAAGTGTGGAGCAGAGGTTCTCGACTGGTGCAGTCTGAGGACCAACCAGGACCCGCATGCCTGATATGTTTCAACCAATCAGATTGACGTAATCAGGCCATACAAGAGTGTCAGAGAGTAAATAGAAGGAACGTAACAAACAGATTAAAAAATTCCACCACAGACTTTTGACACCAGAGACCGGACCCTAACCCGAGCCCTGACCCACCAGTTGAGAACCACTGACGTAAAAGACTAGACTACAAGAAAACATTTCTCAGATGAAAAGTGACCCAACAACACAAAGACGGTCGAGTTCAGAGACTGAATCAGCTGAGGCGACACAAATCAAACATCTGGTCACAAATAACCTTCAGCCTCATTAGAACAGAAGCACATGACTTATATTTAATAATTCATCCCACCACAACGTCCTGGAAGAGAACAGAGAGCCGCAGCTTTCTCTACAGGCTGTAAACTGAGGGAGAACATGAGGAGCAGTGACTGTGATCAGTGTTGTTAGCATGCTTTTGATTGTTACTAAGCACTAAACATGGTCCTGACTTTCCTCTGTAGGGGACCAATGAAAACACGGCCCCAGCTGTTGAGAACCACAAAGGTTCAGCAGGTATTTAGTCCGAGTCTGAAAAGTCAAAACAAATTGAAAACAGATTGATTGATAGTTTTTTATCTAGCTAATAATCTCCATTTTCATAACCATAAGCAACACATGTAATAATGAAGGATCAAGCAGTCCTTTTTTTTTATTTGGACTTGTTCCAAACCCCCAAACTGAGAGACCCGAACGGCAAAGCTCGTAATAAGAGAGTAAACATCCCAGTGTTTAATGAAATGCAGCTCTTGTGGCTTGATCTGATCGGCAGGAATGAAAAACATGAATCATAAAAACGCCTCAGAGAT